AAGGTGCATATTATAATCCAAGGCACTAGAGGAAGCGAGTTTGACTGTCATGAGGATGGACATGTGCTTAGTAGATGATTTGAGGTACTTTATGATTGGTTTTGTACGAGCTATGAAGGTTAGAATTGTGGATCATCAGATGTTGTGTCCCATGGCTTCACGCCAAGTCGGGGAGTCTAGTATCGACGATCAGATTGCAGGGTCATATGTTATATTAGTTTTAACCTGAGATATATATGGGGTATTGAAGGGTTCCCCGGAATTTGTATATGATTAAGATTTGAGATTGGCATGGGACAATGTTGGGACTTGCGGTATTTTTGCATCATTAATAATTCTACATTTCAGTATTAGAGAGGTCAGAGAAGCAACTTTAGATTCACAGAAGGTCTCTTCAACGTGGGTATCTCGGTTGCTGCATTATTGGGTGCTTTAGAGGGAATGCAGTGGTTTATGAGCTTCTGGGCTACGTGGTTCATGCTAGGGTCTTCTACATTGAGCTTTGGTTTGGGATCGTTGTGTACCAACATGGAGAAGTTTTACCCCGAAGAAAAGTCGAAGAGGATCCGAAGAAATGGGTCAGCTTGATGGTATTGGGTCAGCATAATAATAAAGGTAATTAGTCCTTTTGGGTGGTAATTCTCTACCGATTTTTATGGAAGTACTCTTGGGTTGAGGGATTTGCATGACTCGATTGAGTTGGGGATAGTCATTCCTGATGGCTTAGTTATGTACGGGCGGGTCTCGGGGAGTTCTCGATGGTGTCGACCACGGCTTGAGTCGCCTGTCTACTACTGGCATAAGGAATATGTTGTGCATCATGATTTTCTCCGGGATGGATATCAGAAGTTAAGAGATTGCTGGGACTATTGGATATCGCATGTGAAGAGCGTGCATTTTAGGAGGGCACTTTGTGTTTTTGTTTGCAGACGTTTGGCTAATGGTACGGAGATTACCGGGTTTTGGGGTTTTTGAGGTTCGGGTTTTGCTATGCTTTATGGAAGACCTATATGGATGTTTCCGTAAGATGATGGAGTGTGAGAGATGTATCAGCCATGTGAGTAGCGTAGTTGAGATCAGGTATGGAAATTCTAGTATTCATGAGGTTTCGGGACTGGATGTTCGTAGGCGGACTATCCATTGACTGCGGATTGTGAAGGAATGTTGAGAATATGATAACTAATGGCGTATGTTATGGATAGGTTGCTATAGACTTTTGGGAGGTTACTTACCTGTTTGGGAATGATCGGAATTAGTTTGGGGTCTATTTGAAAGCCCAATGAAAATGTCTATTATATAAGATCAGGTTTGGTTACTCTTATGAAATTGATATCCTGGGTTTAGTACCAGGTAGAATGGATGTTATTCGTGCCCCAGTATATGTTATGTGCTTCTCTATTATGCTATGATGGGTTGTAAAGTTATATAATTGTTCGCACGCATGTTGTAATCCCGTTCAAGCCTTATGGCGATATGGGCAAGATGACCCTCGTGATGTTGATTTGCTCATTGCACCTTAGTTGTGCTTTCTTTCCTCCATGCTGTATTATTTCTATTCATCTCCCCATAGTTATATTTGTGCACCCTATCGTGCTTGATGTTGGCATACATGTGATCAGCGAGCCCGAGTACTTTGGCTCGATGAGTATCCCTATGTGGATTGATATATTTAGGATCGGGTTGCGCGCTGCAACAGATGTTATGTGGGAAACCTTTCCTTCTACTTACTTAGTGTTTTATTTCCCTCTGTGGGATAAGTTGATGAAATTGTACATTTGTTGATATATCTGTTGTACTTGTAAGATAGACTTCGTACCTTGATATCGTTTTGGCTTTAGAAAATTTCTTTGAGTCATTTCTTGTTTGGTGTATGAACCGCGTTGTGTGTGAATCCATGCGTTTTGGTGTGACTTGTTAGTGGGCTACTTGTATGTGCTGAGATGAGGTTTCTAGACCTGAGATTTGCACTATCGTATCGGTATGAGGAGTGTTTGGAAGGATGATGCTATATTTCCGCTCATAATTGGGCAATGGCTCTTGGCGGATGAGAGAGCTTCTTGGCTTGTTGATTTCATGGGTGGTTATGAGTTCCTGCATGTTTCTTTTATCATAGGAAGCATTGCCAAGGTCCAAAACGAGGTTTTATTCGATATGAAGTGTATTACCGGTACCAAGATTATTATTGGGCAGCTATGGTGGTCGAAAATTATTGCTGCGGGCATCTGGGTTGTGTGGACCATCATGTGATTATACCTTGGGTTAGGGTTGTGGCTCGATTCAGCTCATTTAGGCTTATACAGTGTATTGATGCGACATTTGGGTCTTATGATGAGTTTTAGATGTCGAGGATTGGGTTCTGTCCTAAGGTTTATGGACTAAGGATGAAGTGAGATCTTCACTTAAGTTGATTTGTTAGGCCTACATGTATTAGGGTGACGTGGAATCAGCCTGGGTGCATGTATGGTAACTCATGTAGTGATTTGATAGCTTTGGAACGACTCCTTGCACGTTCGAAGACGAACGTATGTTTAAGTGGAGGAGGATGTAATGACCCGGCTGGTCGTTTTAAGATACTGCGTCCAGTTCGGCCGTTTGAGGTCATGAGTAGCTTCACACAGTGTATTATAACTTGCATGCTTGGTTGGCTTTGGTTTTTGAGTGATTCAGAATTGATTTTGAAGGAGGACTCCCACTTGAGAAGCTTGAAGTTGAAAGAGATGACGAAGTTTGACTTTTGGGTATTTGACCTCGGATCGGAGTTATGATGGTTCCGATAGGTCCGTATAGTGATTTTGGACTTGGGCGTATGCCCGGATTTACATTTGTATATTTCTAGAAGGTTTCGACACCATTTGGCGGAAGTTGGCAATTTAAAGGTTTGGAATTTTTCTAAGTTTGACCATGGTGTGACTTTAACGATATCGGGTTCAGATTTTACTTTCGGGACCTAGAATAGGTCTGTTTCGTCATTTGAAACTTGCCTGTAAAATTTGGTGTCATTTGGAGTTGATTTGGTTACATCTAGAAGCTCTTGAAGTTCATTGTGATTTTTATGCGTTTTGTTATCCTTTTCGTGTTTCTAGACGTTATTTTAGTATTTTGATCGCACGAGCGAGTTCGTATGATATTTTTAAACTTGTGTGGATGTTTGGTTTAGAGCCCCGAGAGCTCAGATGAGTTTTGGACGCGTTCCGAAGGAGTTTGTAGAAGTTCAACTGGTTCTGTTGCTCCTGTTGCTCTGTTCTCCCATTTGCGAGGTTCTTATCGCATTTGCGAGATCTTTCTTGCTTTTGCGATGATGGTCTGGGAATAGGGGAGTTCGCATTTGCAAACAATTTAATCGCATTTGCGATTGAAGCAATTTCCGCATTTGCGACACAATCTGTCGCTTTTGCGAAGACTCTAAGCTCGCTTTTGCGAGACTTGTGTCGCATTTGCGACTTAAGAAGAGTGTGTCAGACTTCGCTTTTGTGACGTTATTGTCGCATTTGCCAAACTCATGTAGCAAATGCCACATCCGAGTCTAGTATTAAGACTTTCATTTAAGGACTTAGCTTCATCTTTATATATTTTGAACTCTAGACTCGGTGGGAGGCGCTTTTGTAGAGGGATTTTCATAGCAAACTATTGGGTAATTGGTTTTAATCAATTTTCAATTGTATTTCATGATTATGTATTAAATTTAACATCAAATTCATGAAAATCTAAGAGAAAATTTGGGGATTTTTGTCAAAATTTTGAAAAATAAAAATTTGAGATTTGGGGTCAAATTGGACTCGGATTTGAAAACAAAATACATATATGGACTCGTGGGTTATGGGTAGTCAATACCTACCCTTGGACCCGGATTTGACCGGGGAGACCCGTAATTTTTTATTTTTTTTAGCAAATCCATTAGGCGAATTGTCTAGGGCTAGTTTTTATAAATATTGAAGAAAGAAAACAATTTCCCGTAAAGTAATACAAATTGTAGGAAATACCTATTGAAAATTACATAACACCTATTGCCAATGTGAAGTAAATAATACCTAACCTTGGCATTACAATTTGATCTAAGATATATGAAAACTTGCAGAAGAATTACGCTTTCGTGGATCAATTCTAGCCATATTACTGTGAGTATTAGCAATGACCAAGATATCCTAATCTAAAGGATCACGTGCCAAACATTTTGATAATTTTGTAGAACCTTCGTGGCATTTGAATTCCTGAATGTAATTATTACTGACTCAATCTTGCCTTTGTCTTGTATCCTATTTGAATTGTGTGATTGATAGTTCATCTCCACTGTCTCCTAAGTATCCACTGTTTTGTCCAGTTGTCGAGCAACATCATGAATCAAAGTAGCATTGTGATGTGCTACTGCCACTTTGGAATTATCTCCATCTAGATCCTCCACGTATCACATTATTGTGTACCAAAGTACATTGATGGGCAGTGTAATATTGGAACATCTGTAATTGTCGTATTCAAGTATTAATTCCTCCTGAAAAGTATAGTGTAGTATGTCCCATTCCAACACAAACAGGACATCAGATCTAGTTATGTCCTCTGCATTTTCCTCTTTGCTGTAGTATTGCACGTAGATGAACCATTGTCGTTTGATCATCAAAATCAGCGTCACTTCCATGCATCTGCCTACCTTAAATTCTCTTCCACATTGTTTGTTGTAATAAAGTGTCTGGGCATCCTTCTCCTGAAATTCCAATCTTGTTTGTTGAATGTGTCTATTGCCAAGTAGAAGCATCTTGTTTCTATGAATGTGGGTTCCCTCAATTCAGTTCCTATTGTATTAGTTAAATCAATTGATTTGTCCAGCAGAAAATTGATACACCGATAGTGTATAGGTACAAATGATTGTCCTGCAAAATAGCAAATAATGTTAGTATAAAAAAGCATCACCATGCTCTCATCTGTACAGATTTGTACAAGGTGTTCATGAGAAGCTCCCTGTGTATCTCCTAATCTCCTATTCCCCCTCATATCATTCTTATCTCCTCTCATCTTGCAACCTTTATTCTCAGATATGGGCACTGTAGCTTGTCGTTATTTACAATACTCCTACTCTGAATATCAAGCTCCTCAAAACAATGTGCTTCAATAAGGCCTTTATCTAGTGCATAGTTAGCCAAATTATCCGCCAATTTATTGCCTTCTCTCAGTGTATGATTGACTATGATGTTATTTATTTGCATTAGTTCCTTAATCTCCTCCACATACTCTGCCACAACCTAAGGGACATTCCATTCTTCAGTAACAACATTTTTAATTAACAATGAGTCAGTGTGTAAATCAATTGGTGTGTAGTTTTGTGCTACACAGTACCTTATAGCTTCTAGATTGCCTTTGCCTCTGCTTCTGTTTTTGTCCCCTCTTGAACTTCTTTAACAAATGCATATATCACATCTCCTTCCTCATTTCTCAATAAAAAACCAATAGAACTTCTCCCAGGATTTTCCTTAGAAGCCCCATCTGTATTTACCTTCACCCATCCTGGGCTTTCATACTCCCACATAACCTTAGTAATCTGCAGCATGGGTGTGTATTTCTCCAGCACATCGATATGATCTGGCCATCTATGAGGCACTTGTTGAAGGCCAGGTTTTTTGTAATTGATAAGAGATTGAAGAGTGGAGGAAATCTAGAAGATCACTCTATTTACAGTAACTTTATCTCCATGCTTGAAACTCTTTCTTCTTTTTCAAAGTTCCCAAATAATTATGGATGGCAGTGCTTGTAATATAGTTTGCAGTCGGGGTATTACTCTTGCAGTCCAACATTTGATCACTGCCTGGTGGAATGTGATTCCTTCTAGTGATATTCCAGCATTATTTAGAAAGTAAGACCACACTCTAACAATAGCATATGAAGTGAAGAAAAGGTGCTGTGTAGTTTCCTCTCTTGGATTAGAACAACACCAGCATCTAGATGCCATCATATAACCAAGTCTCCTAAAGAAATCATCGAGAGGCGGCTTATTTCTCCAAAGCTTCCACATGAAAAATGATATTTTAAAACGTAATCTCTTTACCCAAATCATCCTATATGCATTGCAAGGTTCTTTCCTTTGTCTAATGTACTCCCAGGCTGACTTTACACTGAAGTTACCTGTTGGTTCAAGCATCCAAGAAGGTTTGTCTAGAACATCATGTACCAATGGTGGTTTGTTATTTTCCAGTATGTGAGTAGCTAACTCCATTGGTAATATTTCTCTAATCTTCTCCTCATCCCACTGCCCATAAGTTACTACCTCATATACGTTTTGAATCGATTCATCACAAACGAAATTTGTAGGTGTAACAAAATAAAGAGCACCCAAACCAGTCCGGTTCTCAAACTAAAAAAATGATGACCCCACTTTAGGATGCCACAGGATTTGATGCTCTATTATATTTCTGCACTCAAGCATTTTCCTCCAAACATGAGATCCACCCCTCCAAGGAACAATCATCGAATTAAACTTCTTGCAATATTTCTAACTCATAAAGGCACTCCATAAGCTAGGTTTTATTCTGAAGTTCTACCATAACTTACAAAACAAATCTTTAGATATGTCATGTAATGATCGAAAACCAACAGCTCATTCTTCAAAATGCATACACAAAGTATTCTGCAATGCCCAATGCCTACTCTTTCTACCCAATGTATTACTCCAAAAGAACCGAGCAAATATCTTATGTAATCTGTTGATAACACAATGGGGAGGATTCACCGCTGATAGTAGATGGATAGGCATACTTTGGAGGACATGAGAAATTAGAATAGCTCTACCTCCAATGGATAATAACTTTCCCTTCCAAGCTTGTAATTTATCCATTACCTTAGTGATGAGGCCACTGTAATAATCCATTCTTCTTCTAGCATAAAAGATTGGACAACCCATATAGGTAAAAGAGATCTCCTGCTTTGAAATATCTGTGATCCTTTCTACTTTGTTCACCACCTGAGAAGTAGAATAATGATGCATATAGATTGCTGACTTGGATTTATTAATCAGCTGTCCCTGTGTTATTTCATATGCAGTCAAAACTTCCATTACTAATTGTAATGAAGTTTCATCTGAAGATGAAAAAATGATAGTATCGTCCGTATATGCTAGATGAATGATCTTAGGACTCTAATTTGGTAATCCAAAACCACAGAAGTACAAATTCATGTGAAGTGCATTTAAGCCCCTTGACAATGCTTCAGCTGCAAGAATGAATAGTGTTGGAGATAGCGGATCTCCTTGTTTTACCCCTCTTGTTGATTTGAAGAAACCATATGGTTGTCCATTTAGTAACACTGAATTCCAGTTGTTTGATATGATCCCATACACAATGCCAATAAATCTCTCACTGAAGCCCATTCTCCCCAATACCTTAGTCATAAATAACCGAGATATCATGTCATATGCTTTTGCCATATCGAGCTTGATCACCACATTTGGTCCTGCCTTAGTTCTCAGTCTAATATCTTTAATTATCTCACGTGTCAATAAAATATTCTCCACAATGCTTCTTCCTTTTACAAAGCCATCCTGCTCATCTGAAGTAAGGTTAGGAAGATAACTTACTAATCTTTCATCAATAACTCTGGAGAAAACTTTGTTTATGAAATTGCTGAGGATTATTGGTCTCATGTCTGAAAAGGATTGACTTCCTTTTTCTTTGGCAGTAGTATCAAATATGTGTGAGTCACAAATTTAGGTAGTTGTTGTCCATTGAAAAAGGCCTTCACCATGTCGACTGTATTATCTCCAATGATGTCCCAACAGAATTGAAAGAAGATGCCTGAGAAGGCATCTGGACCTCCTGCACTTTCCCCATTTAATCCAAATACAGCATGCTTGACCTCTTCACTCATAGGTTGCTTTATTAGTTCTTGGTTCTGTTCTTGATTCACTATCTTAGGAACATGATTAATGATCGAAAAATATGTTGTAATTATTTCTTCTTTGAATTGAGCCTCGAAGAATGTCATAGCCTCCCTTGACATATCCTCATTCCCTTCAAGCCACTGTCCAGTATTGTTTTGAATCCTGTTAAGTTGTAGTCTTTTCCTCCTTCCATTCACATGTGCATGAAAGAACTTTGTATTACGATCACCATCCTGGAACCATTTCATTCCAGACTTTTGTTGCCAAAACAGCTCCTCCACTGCTAGATATTTGATAAGTTCTGCCTGAATATTTTGAAGTCTCTCGCGATTCTATTGCGTAGGATTCAATTCAAACTGTGATCCATATATTACAACGACCCCCTCTAAGATCGCTATGATTTGAAAGATATCCCCATATGTTGATTTGCTCCATAATGATAGAGCTTTCTTCAGTTTCTTTAATTTATAGTTGAACATAGTGAATGAATTAGCCTCAAAATCTGCTTGCTAATTCTCCTTGACAACATCTTTGAACGATGGATGTTTGGTCCAGAAGTGCAAAAATCTAAAAGCCTTCCTGATGGGAGTAGCATTAGGCTTACAAGAGAGGAACATGGGACTGTAATCAGATCCAATTTTGGAAAGGTGTGTTACCTCTAGAGCATGCTACATTTGCTGGAACTCTATATTATCAAATTATTTGTCCAACCTTTTGAATATACAATCTTCCCCAGCTCTCCCATTCCACCAAGTGTAAATACTCCCTTTGAAATCAGGATCTGTTACACGCAAGTGTGCATATAATGTCTAAAATCATTAACTTCATTCATTGACACAAGTAGACCCCCAAACTTTTCCTCCTGGTCCCAAATAACATTGAAATCTCCACCTATAAGCCATGGAGTAGATATATCCCCAGCTAATGCATAAAGTGAATCCCCGAGTTCGATTCTCTCAATTGCATCACCTTTTGCATAGACAAATTTCACAATAAATGATCTGTAGGTACCTATATTTGTCAACTTCAGTGTTAACTACTGCTGCATATTAATAATCTCCTCAACTTCATGATTTTCATCTACAAATGCCCATATTTTTTTGAAACATTAGTAAAGGCTTGAAGAATTCCCAGTTTTCTCCTATATCTTTCCAGTTTTTTCTTATTTTGCATTGGTTCCATCATACCTATAAACTGGAAATGGTGTTGCCTATACATATTGACAAGACTTTCAAAGGCTATTTTTATGTTCACTAACCTTATATTCCATATTAAAGCATTCATCTTTAAACATGGGATTTAGATAAAGTCCTTCTCGTTTGAACCCCACCAGGAGGTATACTAGGAATCTCTTTTAGCTGCTTCTTTCTACCTATGCCAGCTTACTTGACATTATCTAGAAGTCTAGGTGAGAGATCACCTTGTAGTGCAATGTTTAAAAGATTTTGTGCAGTCAGTTCTTCATCAAGGTCTCTTCCTTTCCCTATTAGATTATCTCCATCACCCTTGGTTTCATGTTGAGTAGTCAATTGATTTTTTGTAAGGTTGTGGATAAAATTTCTGCTCTATTGTTCTCCACCGGATTTCCACTATGTTCAATTACTGGAAGTTGCTTACCCAACCCTGAATGTTGCACTTTGTGATTATTTACCAGCATGTGCTTATTCATATCATTAGTTGTACCTGCATTACTCACCTCTGTATTTTGCAATCCATTGCTTCCGAGTATATGTGGATCCTCCATTACCGTAGTCCCCACATTGTGAGTATCTTTAATTTTATGCATACACGTAAAAGTGTCCGCAATCGCCACTGTTTTACTTGCTTGTGCATATGATGATCCCCTCAAATTAGCATTTTGCCCTGGTTTTATGAGATTGCTCATTGATTTCAGATCCCCCTTTGTCTTTTCTTCATTTACAATTTGCTCCTCATCTTCTTCTTCATCATCTATTGATTCATCCTCACCCCCTTCACCTTCTGGCAATTCACCTTCATCTAAATCTTCTTCAACTTGATCACTCCATAATTTATCTAGTTGTAGTCGGCCATTATCCTTGATAGCACCAGGTTATACATTTGTGTCAATGGATTGAGAAAGGACTTCCTGGCAGGATTGGTTGGTTGCAACATTACCAACAAAAGTCCTGCTAACCCATTGAGCTGTTGTCTCCTTTTGTAATCCATAATTAACTTCTGTCCCCTTACCATAAGGATTAGTCCTCTCTATTTTAGACGAGTTAGGTGTGAACACAATTGCTGCTGGTCTAAGTCTGCCAGTTTTTACAGGAATAGGACTTTTCTGAATGGAATTTTCCTGCACTAATGCCAGTTGGTTGTTCTCATAGATCTCCCCATCATCCACCTCTAATATAGCATATATATTAGTTGTTTGAACCGCTTGATCTACAGGTTTTTCAACTGGAACAATCTCCTTCCCATTTTGTTCATTTACAATAGAGTCATTGCCTTTGATTTGCCCACGCTTGTCTCTTACTTCCTTCTATTGTGCACCTACATTCCCAACTACTTTCCCACTCGTCAGAACCATTAAAGTTCCTTGTTGTTTGCTTTTGTTTCTCCCATGCTTAGTGATATCCTGTTGCTTTGTTACGGTTACATTAGCATGTTCCACCTGTCTGCCTTTGTCATTAGACTCCATTAGTTATGGATATAATCACCAGCATTCAAACATATCATGATCTTGAATTTTACATTCCTTGCAATATTTAGGTAAGAAATCATAATTAATCTTCACCCATTCCGTCCTTGTTTCACCTGTAACATCATTCTTAATGTCCATACGTACTTTCTTTGGCAACTCAGCTAAGAAATCAACAAGAACTTTCAATCTAGTACAACTAGGTCGGGTTTTATTTATTGTAGCCATGTCTAGATGCAAAGGTTTTCCCACTGCTGAAGCTAAAGAGAACAAACATTCCTTGGCGAAAAAGGTAGGTAATAAACATGAAAAATATATCCATGCCATAGTCTTTGGTGTCTCTTCGCTAGCCTTCAATTTTGCATCATAAATAAGAGGTCGTAGTTGATACTCATATCCATCATTGACTTTGACATAGTAAACATTTCTCGATGTAAAATATATGAAATCTTCCCATAGCGTCAATCTTATTAAGACATGTTGATCTCGAAGAAGACCAACATTACACTCACCTTTAATTCCACATTGCTTTCAATTACATTCATGCGTTCAACTTCAGCTTCTGTAAACTTCACAAAGGGCTCACCATGTAAAACAGTAGCACGTCGCATCTGGATAGGCTCGACAGTTGTATTAGCATTTTGGTTCGCCTTCCTAGGACTGTTTTGGATAGATGGTTTCAATATTATACTGTAATCTAAGGGTTGTGGTGTGTTGTTTGTGGTCGTATTAGTTGTGGCGAAGGAGGTATGAGGCTGACCAGCCGGTAGGGATGGCTGGCCGCCGACCGGGTGTTCCATGGGAGCACTGTATAAAACTCATAGCTTTATTAACTGAAATGGTTTTCCCTTGCATTGTTTTATGTTATTAAGCCGTTTTTGGCTAGATTTGAGCCGAGCGTAGGTGTATTTGTAAAGAAAAGGCTAATTTAATTATTGATTTGGCCAAATTGAGGTAAGTATCTTGCCTAACTTTGTGTGAAAAAAACTATCCCTTATATTTTGGATTGATGATAATATTTGAATTATGTGAAAGACGTGTGTACGAGGTGACGAGTGAGTACACAGGCTTATATATGACATTCGACCAGTTTAGACTATTAGGCTTCTTTCATGCATTTAATTGAAGTTGTCACTTCATGTTATATCTTTTGTTGTTAGGCTTGCCCTTACGTGTTTTAGTTGAAGTTGTTAGTACATGTTCTATATTTTATTGTCAAGTTCACCCTTATATGTTTTAATTATTAATTGTAATTACTTGTTGAATATATGCCTTCATCGTTAATTGATTCTCGAAAATCATGTTTTGGTTTATGAATTGTCATTTCTTGCTATTTGATTTTGTGAGTCATCGTGTAACTTTTTCATCCGTTATGACTTCTTTTTGTAGCTTCATTATTGCATTGGTTATGTGATATGTCGTAGTTGGTTGTAGTTTGTTTGCTTAATTCATATTATTTAGGGAGCGGTTGCATGCCACAACGGTATTGAAATTATGTAGAAAGAATGATATGGAG